AACGACAGAATTCGTCGCAGTAACGAAACGAATCATCCGTCACTTCCTCTTCGCCCTGTTGTCATGACAATTTTCAATTATGTGAACCTTCCCCAAGCACTTCTCACTCGTGAAACATCGAAAGCTGTGCAGTCGATTCACGTGCATCCCTATATAAACCGTTCGAACGATACGATTTTTTTTTTTTTTTTTTTTTATATAAAATCACTTTACGCGCTGTCTGTCGCTTCGTCGGTTCGTTCGGCTCGTTCCCTTTTTCTCTTGCACGGACCCTTCTCTTCGCAAAGAGTAACAACAACAACAATAACAAGAACAACGGCAACAAACGTCTCTCGTAATATCGTATAAGAATTTATGTACACCCACGCTGGAGAAAAGAGCCATCTCCTCCGGACTCTCCGGATGAATGTGTCCGTTTGCGGTTTCGTCGTTCAATACATAACCTCGTAGACTGTCGCCTTCTTGTCACCTGAACCGGTAACGATGTACCTGTCGTCGGCTGATATATCGCAGCTGAGCACCGAGGACGATTCCTTCGACTGAAAACATCACAAGATACATGCTTCGTGAGGCAACTGTACGCTCGAAGAAGATTTACATTCCAATTCTCGTTTGTCTCATTACTTTCTCCGTTGTTTTCTGTTCGAGAAATTATCTCATTGATCGTCGAAGAAATCGAGCAAGAAAGAAATTTCTTTTTCTCTTTGTATATTTCGTGTATCGATTATTAGCGACGTCGTTCAATTAGACTTTCAAATCTGTTTCATGTATGCGATACATATTTATCGTGTCGCCAATGAATAAATAGAAATAAGACGCGAATTTAGCTTGGAAAAATCAACGAACGTTTGGTATTCGTAATTTCTGCACGAAATGTTCTTCGTATCAAAGTAGGAAGGTTGTTTGAAATTGCTATTCGTGAATTCTTAAGTTGCACAAGAGCGCGATTGAATGATACGAAAATGTAGCTTGATAGTAAAGAGAATGGTGTTTTTTCTACTTTGCCTGGGAAATAAATTAAAACATAATACACTACACATTGTATCGCATTTCAATACTTTCCATTTGACAATGTTAAAAATTGTTTCCGTGATCATTCTAAAAAGTGTGTTAAAGAAAATCTTTAAATTCGCATTCCAAACATTTGTAACAGATCGAAACTAATTGCAAGAGAAATATAATATACGCGAGAGACACTTACTTGGAATATGGACGCTCCGTAAGGCGTGCGCCACGCGTTCAGCAGGTTATCCTTGCCGGTGGAGACGAACCACTTGCCGCAGGACGCGAATCTCAGCGACAGCACGCAAGACTCGTGCAAATGGAGCTGATATTTGTCCGGATTGGAGGCGTGCAACACCTCGACGTTCGAGTTCTCCATGCCGACGGCCAGCCATTCCCCCGTGGGACAGTAGCCGAGAGAGAATATCTGCGAGGTGAAGTCGTGTTGCTTCAGCTGCCTGCCCTCCCGAAGGTCCCACGAGCGCACCGTGTTGTCCAATCCGCCGGTCCACAGTTTCGAACCGTCGGCGGATATGTCGATGCAGGACGCGCCGTCCGTGTGACCTTGGAACTGCCTGACCAAAGACTGATTCTGAAGATCCCAGACGGCGATGCTGCCGTCGCTGCAGCAGCTGAAGCAGACCTTCGAGTCCGGCGAGATCGCCAGAGCGTAACAGGCCGGGGCGGCGGAGATTAATTCGGCCTTGATCCTCGGCGTCGGACTCGCCAGATCCCAGATACTCAGCCGGCTGGCTTCACCACCGACTATCAACGTTCTGCCATCCGGCAGCAGTTTCACTGACCTGCGACACGTCACACGTACGTTTCGTTATAATTCAAGTGTCTCGAGTCTTATTCTCGATCATTCTCAGCCAACGAAAGGTCATAGGTTACGCTCGAAGCCGTGAGATGATTGGAGGCTGGATCATTCTCAGGTATTTTGGATTGGTCGTTTTGAACCGAGGAAGATACGTGATAAGTTGTTGTTCAAGTCTTGATATATTACGAGCTCGGAGTCTTATTTTCGATCGTTTCGAAGCATTTTCAACCACTAATGGTTGACTATTGGTCGAGGAAGGTTGTAGGTTACAGTTAAAGTCTTGAGATATTGGAGACTCATTCTTGAGAATCTTATTCTGGATTGTTTGATCGAGGAAGGTTTTACATGTCGGACGGGTCACGTTTGGAGTCTTGGCAAGTTCTGATCCTGGATCATTTTGGTTTGGATTGAAGTATTAAACTCATTGAACAGATTAAAAGATATTGGAGTACGTAGACTCAATTCTTGAGACTTTTATTCTGGATTGTTTTTATGATTCGATCGAGGAAGGTTTTACATGTCGGAC